ATTCAGACTTTTCTTTGTAAAATTCACTATGTGACAGGTTTGTTTGGGCGAGGACAATATTGTCCTGATATTTTCCTGGTATCACAAATTCTAGCACTTTCCTAATCTTAACAAATATTGAAATGAATGATTTACCAAGAAAACAGATTCATACTTCTCTAACAAGAATACAAAAACTGAGACATGCAGGTGTCACTGACGATGACACAAAGGGCTCAGTGTTGGGAAACATGAGGCCACCAGCACAGAGCCGTTCACGACCCATTGCCCTTCATTTGCAGCTAGAATCACCCACCTGTCAAAATAGTGTAGACTGAATACAAAGGAGCTCACCAGGACCAGGAGGGTGCATGTGGCTCTGGCCTTGTGGAAAGGTTGAGGGCAGAGGACATGGCTGTGAAGGTCTGGACTGGCTGCCGGTGTCTGTGCAGGACAAGGACCATGGAGCCACTGGCCCGGGCCATGAGGACCAGACTCGTCAAGTCAGGGGAAAAGTCTAAGATAGCATATCATAGGCTATGACTTACTTGCATTGACCAGGAACAGTACCCACCGTTCTCATCTACACTGAATTTTTTCTTAATTCATTGGGCCATTCACTACTAAAGGCAGAAATGAATTTATCAAGAGATTCAGGGTCCAGCAGAGGAAACAGCAGAAGCCGATGAACTCTGGGGATTGAACCTTGAGTGTGATCTACCCACACACCTGCAGCCGCTCCCACACAGGCACTCCATGTCTGCTCAAAGTGGGAGCTCACCCCCTATCTCCTTCCTTGAAGCGTGCCTGCATCCCCAGGGCTTCAGCCAGAGCCCTGTTAGAGGCCATGTGTTGAGTGAGAAGAGGGAGCAGTTTCTGAAAGAATCTGAGAGGAGAGAAGGGAGATGCCAGGCAGCCCTAAGAGCTCACTGGAGTGGCCACATGCCTCTCCTCCCCTAGCATTTGCTTCTTGAATGTGTTCGGGGATTCATCAATCCTTTATCTATCATCTATGTATCATTTATACCTATCACCTATCATCATCTATGCATCATCCATCATTTATGTAACACCTATCATCTATGCATCATTCACCGTCCATGTATCATCTATCACTAATCTGTCATCTGACTTCTGTTATCTACCTAAGGTTTTTGTTTCCAATCTCAGAAAGGCAAAACATTTTTTTAACACAATGCCTTTATTTTTATGTGGTGCTGAGGATGGAACCCGGGTCCCGCCCGTGCTAGGCGAGGGCTCTACCACTGAGCCACAATCCCAGCCCAAGGCAAAGCATTTTTAAGACGAGTTAATCTATCAGCGGGGCATGGTGGCACACACCTGTAATTCCAGCACCTTGGGAGGCTGAGGCAGGAGGATTGCAAGTTCAAAGCCAGCCTCAGCAAAAGCAAAGTGCTATGCAACTCAGTGAGATCTTGTTGCTAAATAAAATACAAAATTGGGCTGGAAATGTGGCTCAATGTTCAAGTGTCCTGAGTTCAATTCCCCAGTAAAAAATAAAGTAAAAAAAAATACTAGTTAATCTTAGATTTCCTGAGAAAAATACTTTCTGAGAATCTGATACTTCCCCAAAGAGAAAAGAGAAAAGCTACTTACCACATGTGGATTTCCTCTCAAGACAGGGATGCGGAGGCAGCATGTGTCAAGTGTGTGGGTGAGACACATGAACCTCAGATAAAGGCCTGGGACTGCAAGACCTCTCCTCCTTGCTGGGAGTTATTATCATGTCACCTGGGAGTGCAGTGAGAGCATCTTCTAGGGGACTGCAGAAGATCTCTGAGGAGCACTTGGGATTGTGGAGAACACTGACAGCTATTAAAACAATTTAAAAATATATCCAACAGGAATTTCAGAGACAATTAAGGAAAGTGTACTTTTTTTTTCTTTTTTGGTACCAAGGATTAAACCCAGGAGTACTTATCCACTGAGAAACATCCCCCAGACCTTTTAAAATATATTTTATTAGAGACAGGGTCTCACTGATTTGCTTAGGGCTGGCTTTGAATTCTTGATCCTCCTGCTTCAGTCTCCTGAGTCGCTGGGATTACAGGAGAAATCCATGCCCAGCAATAAAAGTGAACTTTTGAAATCAACAAAATCCACATGAAAGATGAGAAGAGAAACCCGAAATCTAACAAGTGAGATGGATGCCAATCAAATGTTTATCCCAGATTCTTAGCTGATCTAGAGGCTATGTTTCCAAAGCAATTCTTCCTCAAAAGCAGGAAAAAATGTGATTATAATTAGAACATTTCTCCTGAGCTCTCATGTTATCATATTTGTTCAGTATTTTGACTAATATTTATTGGGTAGTTTATGGGTTTCCGGTATGTTTCTAGGCACATGGATTATATTGGTGAACAAAATATAAGTTTGCCCTTCTGGAAGTCACTGTATACTTATGAAAAAGGCAATAAACATTGCATTGTTGAAATAAATACCATTGTAGACTAGAAAGCAATCTGTCCTAAGGCAATAAGAGGAAGTACAAGGGCTTCAGGTAGGCTGAAGTTGAAAATTGACTGTTCATGTTTGGACTCAAAATAAAAATAGTTTTAAGGAAATATTTTATTTGGTGTAGGAGGACATACCTACTTCTTCTTTTCCAAATATTGTATGCTTATTTTCTTTCCTTAATGTCTGAAGTCTGATATCCAGTTTAACACTGAGTACAAGTTCCATGCATGGCCACTGTACTTTTGTTTTAATCTTATGGGAATATGTTAACAATGGACCATGGGTTATGAAACCTGCCAAAACACCTTTGTAGATGTTATTTATAAAACTACAGAATAGACCTTCTCTTGTATCCTTAGATGCATATAGTTTTGTGCATATATTTTTTGTCTTCCTAAGTTTTATTCTTAATTTCATATACAACATGATGATATATCTTCTTTTTTCTTATTTTCATAACAGAACAACTTTTCTTTGTCTATTATGTATGCATAACCTATCTTATTTTTGATAATATATATTATCTTTTGAACACCATTATGGTAAGATGGGAACATTGTACCCTTTGGCAATGAATAATTTGTTGTGCTTTTTAAAAATAAATGGGTATTATTCTCCATGACCTGAGTACAATCTTCAAATTTAGAAAAGTCAGCATTCATTCGATAGAATTATTTAATTTACACACTATGCTCATATTTTAAAACTTTTCTATCAGTGTCTTTTATAGTTTTTTTTTTTTTTTTTATTCCAGAACCAAACACAGGATTGGGGATTTTATTACTTTCTCATTTGAGCCTATTCTCCAGTTATTGGAAGCAGTTATCTTCCCTTCATTCCTTTATTTTTACATTTGTTTGGCAAGACAGTACAGAAGGGACTGACCAGCATGTGGACAGCCAGAGAGAGAGGTGGACCTGGGGACTGAGGCCTTTATTTTGGTCTAGGGTGTAATCAGAGCAGATCTCCCATGGAGGGTTCTAACTGGAGATTAACGGCCACCAGCTGTGAGTTCCATGTGGTCTGGCTGTGACTGAGTGGCCCTCAACACTGTGCGAAGAGTGAGTTGAGTAGTTACACCACGTGTTCCAGAATGTGGTGGTAACCAAGTGATTTACCAGTTTTTGAGAAAATGCACTTGTTTTGGTTTGGATATGTGGTATCCCCCCAAAGCTCCTTAAGTTAGTGCAGAAATATTAAGAGGCAAAATTATATGATCCCGCGGGCTGTAACCTAATCAGCTCATCTAATTTGAACAGACTGGGAGATAGCTGTAGGCAGGTGGGGCGTGGTAGGAGAAGTTGGGTCCCTGTGACTATGCCCCAGAAGTGTAGTCCCTCAGGCTCCTCCCCTTTCCTTTGCTCCGCCTGGCATGCCTTGCCACCATGACAGCTGGCCTCACCCTGGGCAGTGGAGAAAGGGAGCTGACCCACCCTAGAGTAAACCTTTAAAACCATGAGCCAAAATAAACTTTTCCTCCTTTTGTCAGGAATTTTGGTCACGGTGACCAAAAGCTGAATAACACAGTGCTAAAACTAAATTTTAATGATTTGTTTACTTCTATTACAATTCTTTGGTCTTTCTTTGACTAATTTTATAATATGTATTTTTAAATTAACACTTTGTTACAATTAATACTTCTTCCTCTATGACTCCATTTCATAATATACCTCTAATATTCTGTGAAATATTGATATCATCTCAACTTTCTAAATTAGCAATATGAGATATTTAACATTAAAAATTGTATAGCTATATTTGTCCAGAATTATTTTTGTAAAGGTTTGCTCAAATTGGCAGTAGAGTTTTTATAATATTGGCAGTAGATTTTTAAATAATATTTTTAGTTATTAAATTATTATAAATCTTTTTCTTATTTTGATAACAGACCAACTTTTCTTATAAATCCTATTTATTTACCCTTTAATTTTGATAAATAACTTGTATACAGAAAACAAAATTACCTGGCCAGCTTAATAACTATTTCTAAAGTTAGCATCTGCTTAACTCTTGTTCAGGTGCATAAGTCATAGCATCCTAGGAGCCCCATGTACTTTGTCAGTTCACTTACCAAACCAAAATTTATTTTCTTATATCCCAAGTAAGCATTTCCTTGTTTTTATTGATAGTTTTAACGTCAATGTTTTAAATATGCATCTATGTAGTTCAGTTTTGTCTGTTTGGAAACTTCATACAAATGGAACCAAATAATGATTACTACATGCCTTAAATCACTTGCCCAACATGCATGTTTATTAAGTTCTTTATTTTTCAGTTTTGTATATTATTCTGACATAAATACCTGAATAGAATACTGTTCTGCATTCTCCTTTCAGAGGTTTTTGTCTATCTGCTTTCCAGTTTTGGGCAGTTAGGTTTTGCTACTATACAGACACCTGCCTGTGAGTTTAAATGCACTCGTCTACCTGGACTATGTAATGTTGAAAAGAATTTGTTTTGCACAAGGCTGAAAATTTTTAGATTACTATATAATGCCATTTAGTTTGTATGGGCTGCCATTAAAAAACCAGAGACAGGAAGCCTTAAATAACAAAATTTTATTTTCTCAGCTGCAGAGGTAGGACGTCTAAGATCAAGCTGCCAACAGACATGGTTTCTCCTGAGGCCTCTCTCCTTGTGTAGTAGGAGACTCCCTTCTTGCTGGGTCCTCCCACAGCCTTCCCTCTGTGTGGGTACATTCCTAGGATCTCTTCTATTAAGGGCAGCGGCCACTGAATTGGGGCTCATGCCTATGGCCTCATTTAACCTTCAGTTCTTCCTTAAATTCCCTACAACCCAACAGGTCACATTGTGGGTGATGACTTCAACATATGAATCTTGTGGAGACATAACAAATGCCACACATCTCCAGGACACTTTTTCCAGTCTTCACACCCACTGTTAGTTTTTACTATTTACTGACCTTTTTAGTGTTAACCACACTGAAAATGTGACTTTCATCAAAAGTTCTAGTTTACTTTAATGCAGTTTTCTTACTGCCCAGTTTAAATGCATTTTTCTTTTCATATTTGTCATCTATCTTTTGTAATTCAAATGTAAAATGACTATTACGAGTTTTATTAGTTTTTTATATGAAACCTTTCCTTAATTCGTAGAAGCCATTAAATATAGTGTATACATATTCACTTACAGAAACCTCAATATCGTCCTATCTGTGTGACTTGTCACAGAATCTTCTATGGCATGCGTGGTAACAGAAGCCCACTGCTCTGATGTTGCTGGTGAACGTGTGGTGATGCCTGTGTTTTTGCTGGGGAAATCTTGCTCTATCCTATCACTAACACATTGTCTCCATGACCACCCTGTAAAGAAGGGTAAGTCTTCTTCCCATATAAGCTTTTTACGCCTGAAATCATTTTTTCTGCATGTTTAAGAGCAGAGGTGCAAATCAAACTTACTAGCTGGATATCTATTTTTTTTTAAATATAACTTTGTTTTTATTTTTATTTATCTTTGTATGTGGTGCTGAGGATCGAACCCAGTGCCTCATGCGTGCTAGGCGAGCGCTCTACCGCTGAGCCACCACCCCAGCCCCTTGGATATCTATTGACCTAGAACTTTTTTTTTCAAAGTGGCCATTCCCATTGTTCTTCAGAGCTACCGTCCCGCCGCAGCCGTGGACAGGAACCTAAGGCGCTCAGTCGGGTCCGCTGTCGCCGTCAGCACGCCGCCCGCAGCACTCCGTCGTTTGGCCGCGGGACTCTAACCCCAAGCCACAGGGGATGTCGCCCTCACATCTCGTTTTTATCCTGGAATCGTATGGAGGCAAAATCATTGAGAATCGCCTTCCAAGTTTTCTTCCTGGTGCCCTCCGCACATACAAGAAAACCAAGGGGAACAAATGATAAGCACTCGGACTCCCTCGCGACCTGTGTGGCGTCTACGCCTCACGCCCCAGACCCAGGGGTAAGCCAGCGCCCCGCCACAGCCCGCCCTGGCCCGGTCCTCGGGCTCCGCCCCGATCTCCGTCCGGCCTTGCCGGCTTCCTCCGGGCTCCGTGCGGATCTCCGTCCTTCTCGGCCGACTTCCTCCGGGCTCCGCCCCGATCTCCGTCCGGCCTTGCCGGCTTCCTCCGGGTTCCGTCCCGATCTCCGTCCCGCCCGGCCGGCTTCCTCCCGGCTCCGCTCCGATCTCCGTCCGGCCTTGCCGGCTTCCTCCGGGTTCCGTCCCGATCTCCGTCCCGCCCGGCCGGCTTCCTCCGGGGTTTGCCCCTGCGCTCCGCCAGCTCGGGCGGGCACTGACTACCCGGAACACCGCGCGCGCCTGGGCTAATTAGCCGAGGCGGCGCTTCCGCGAGCGCGCAGTGCGTCCGGCGGGACTTCTTGCGCCGCGGCAGAGCTCTCGCGGCCTTGGCCGGCCCTGGCAGCCTCTCCTGGTCGCCTGGGCGGTGCGGCCGGAGGCTTCGCGTGCGTGCAGGCGCGGATGGGACTCTGCGACGCGCCGCCGCGCACCTCGCCGTCCCGCGGGCCCATGGCGGCGGCCGAGCGGACGCGCCCCGCGGTGAGTGCTGCGACGCCGCCGCCCGCGTCCCGGACCCCGAGTCGGGCCGCCAGCACCGGCCTGCAGCCCGGCTCCCCGGGTCCGCGGGAGCTGGGAGAGCGCCCCGAGTGAGGGTTTTGAAGCACTTCAGAGGCTGCTCAGTGTCCAGCAGCCTGCGGTAGAGCTGGCGGAGAGGACCGAGGGACAGGAGTGATGAGTGTTGCTAGATCTTGAAGGTGGCGCGGCGGGACTCTGGCGCTCCTGGTGAAGGACCCCGCCGAGTTCTCTTATCTGCACGACTGAAAGAGCCGAGGGGGCGCAGGTTTCAGGGAGAGATGAGGGTTTGGATTTTGTGGTGGCTCTGAAATGCCCTGGAGTGTAGTTGTAGGGAGGTCAGAAGAGGGGACGGCTTTGTGATGTCCAAGTGGTGACAGTCTCAAACCCGAGGTTCAGATTTAGAGGGGAAACCCAATGGGTTTACTCTGAGGTGAGCCTAGAATGAAGAGAGAGCTTGGGGCTGGAGGGTGGGGAGGAGTGGGTGGGCCTTGGCTGGCTGCCTCCAGATGGGAGGGCCCCTGGTTCCAAGGGTTGTGTCAGAGGACTAAGGAGCCCGCCTAGGACGATGGACTTAAGAAATCTGTGTAGTTCACCGTTCTGAAGACACAGCAGACAGCTCATTCTTGTGGAGCCTGAGAAAAGCCTGGCTAGCGAAGCAGGCCAGGCCCAGCAAGTACACAGGTGCTTCTGCTTCTCCTTGGAAATGCAAACTTTAGCTCCAGACTTAACAAATTCTTTCAAGCAACTTGAAATTGAAATGACAACATGTCCCTGTGCCCTCATACAAACATTTGGTCTTTGCCAGGCATTGGTAAGAAAGAACTAGGACCCTTGTAATTTCCTCAGTGAAGTGTCTGGTTTTCCTTACAAGCCCCTTCTCAAAATACCTGAGTTTTATTAAATGACTAAGGGTGACAATACTTACAGTGAGGTCCCTAAAGAGCCTCAAAGTAGGGCTGATCACCCAGATTGACCTAGTGATCATAGGATTTGAACTTTCAGTCCCTCCTTAGGCTTTCGGGGAGGAAAGGTGAGCTGGGAATTAGGTCATATAAAATCTTGGACAAAGAGATTTAGAAAGCTTTCAAGTTGGGAACACTTGGAAGTGTTGGGAGTGTCACACGTCCGGAAGGGGCCTGGATGCACATCTTCTCTTCCCCCAATATCTTGACATATGAAACCTATACATTTTGTTGTTTCTGTGTTACACTCTTAATAATAAACCAGTAAATGTAAGTTGAGTTTTTCTGAATTCTGTGAGTGAATCTAGCTAATTGTGAAACTTAAAGAAGGGGTAATGTAACTCCCAGATTTGTGTCCAAATTGGATAGCATTATAGGTGGCCTGAGCATTAAAGTTACTGGCATCTGAAGTAAGGGTAGTTTTGTATGCCTGAGTTCTAGAACTCAGGCATATGGGTGCAGATGCTGATTACAGGTAGGTAGTTGCAGAATAAAATTGAAGGGTAGAGTGCCCAATTGGTACCAATTAGAGAACTGATATTGGAAAATAACCATATATTTGGTGCCATAAGGAAAATCACAGAAACTCTTAATTATTTGATACAATATCACATTTGTATGAAATCTTAAATGGCAGATTAAAAACACCCAAATTTTCAAAAACATTTATAGAAATTTGATCTGTGGTCACTAACAGCTAAACTTAGCATTGGACATGCATAACACTACCAGGAGGTAGCCACCATGATTGTTTCCATTTTATGAGTGAAGACAGCCTCAGAGAGGTTAGGTCTTTGTTCAGTGGGCTGAGGATCTGAGGTTAAATGCCAGCCTGAGAAAGCTCTTCAGAGCAAGGCAGGAGGGAATAACTAAGCCTCCACAGATTCCACTCTAATCCTTATCTCATAGACACCCTCTTTCCACAGAGTTCCATGGCAGCAGAAGGGTTTGAGGAACCATCACAGGTAGGTAAAGAAGTCCCAGACCCTCACTGACCTTGCTCCTCACACCCATGATCCTAGTACACAAATTCAGGTGATAGTGGTGTCCTGGGACTTGATGTGTCCTGAATCCTTGGAACCCTGGGGTCACCTGAGGCCCAGGATCCTTAATTATGGTCAGAAATTATATTTCTAAGTCAGCTAATAGGATGAGGTGCTGGAAGGTTTCCTGGGCAAAGGAACAAATTGCATGTCCAAGTGCTAGGAGATGAGAATGGCTTGGGGGGGTTGAAGAAGTTGCAAGTCTCTGTCGTGCCTTCTGGGAACAGAGAAGGAGGGATAGGAGTTATCCTGGAGTGGCAGGTTGAGGAGCAAAGGCCTCTACCAGGGGTGCAGGAAACGTGGAGGGTTTGAAGCAAAGCAGGGAATTTTATAACACAGATTTAAGGCTTTTTTAACACTCCTGGTGAGTGCCAATAGGAGCCTACATACCTGTGAATCTGAAGTGGGGGGCGGAGTGGAGTTTCTCAGTCTCTTGTCAACAGGGATGATTTTCTGCTGGATATGGTAAGAGAGCAATCAGGAATGACCTCAACATTTTTGGCATAAATAAATGAAAGTGTGGAAGTGCCAGTTGCTGAGGTGGAACATAAATGGTAGGATTATGTAAAAGAAATACTATCATGAGGAGATTTATCTTTTTACTTAAATATTTTTATTAAAGTCGGTTTTTGTTTTTAGAGCACTTTTAAGCTTATAGTAAAATTGACAGCAAAGTACAGAGATTTCCCAAATACTCCTGTTGTTGCACACGAATACTGTTTTAGTCAGCTTTTCATTGCTGACAGTAACAGTTTTAGAGGAGGAAAAGTTTATTTAAGCATCACAGTTTCAAAGGTCTCAGTCCGTAGATAGCTGGCTCCATTGCGCTGGGCCCAGGGTAAGGCAGAACATTGTGGCAGAGGAGTGGAGGAGGAAAGTGGCCCAGGACATGCCAGGAAGCAGACAGAGTGCTCACTCACCAGGGTCAAAATACAAACCTCAAAGGCATGCCCCAGTGAACTACCTCCGGCCATACCCTACCTGCCTACAGTTATCACCCAATGAATCCCTGTCAGGGGATTATGATTTGGTTAAAACTTATGACCCACTCACTTCATGTCTGAATTTTTTTGCATTGTCTCACACATGAACTTTTGGTGGACACCTAACAGCTAAACCATAATGCATGCTCTCCCTTATTATCAGTATTTCTCACCAGAGTGGTACGATTATTGCCATTAAATTTATGCCTGCACATCATAATCGCCCATAGTCACTAAGTTTATCTTGTGTTTACTCTTGGTGTTACACATAACAGACTGGACAAATGCAGAGTAACATGTATTCATCATGAGGGCACCATGCAGAGTATTTCCTTTGCTGTTAAAGTCCTCTATTCATCCTTTCCGTTTCCAGCCCCTAAAGATCACTGATCTTTTTACCATTCCCATAATTTTGTTTTTTCAAAATACCATATAATAGGAATCATTCAATGTGCAGCAATATTTTATTTATATATTCATCTCCTTAAGGATCTCTTGGTGGCTTCCAAGTTTTTGCAGTTTTAACTGTAGCTGCTATAAACGTCCATGTCCAGGGTTTTGTGTGGCAGGTTTTTGATGTCTTTGGGTCAGTACTAAAGATCTGTACTATTGGGTCATATGACAAGGGTGTTTGGCTTTGTAGAAAACGGCCAGACTGCCTTCCGTGGTGCTGTTTCACTGTTTATTCCCACCAGCAGAGAGTCCTCTGCTACTCCACATTTCATCAGCACATAGTGGCATCTGTTCCATGTAGAAGTGTCTTGTTTTGATTTGCATTTCCCTAATGACATGATATAGAGCATCTTTTCATGTGTTTATTTTCCATCTTCATATCTTTAATGTTTCCATCTTTGACTTATTTTTAAATTATGTTGGTTGATTTCTTCTTGATTTTTAAGAATTCTTGTATATTTAAGACACCTTTTGATGTTACACATAACAGTTCTTTATCAGATGTTTCTTTTGCAAATCTTTTGGTCTGTGGCCTTTCATTCTTAGCACAGTGTCCTTCACAGAGCAGAAATTTTGCATTTTAAGTAAATTTAGCTAGTTATCATGGATTTCATTTTTGATGCTCTCTAAAAAAAGTAAACAAACCCAAAGTCATCCATATTTTCTCCTGTGTTATCTTCTAGGAATTCTATCATTTTACATTTGGCATTTAGTCTGCGGTACATGTTCAGTTAATTTACGTGAAGGCTGTGAGATTTCTCTTACTTTGTTTGGTGTGCAGATATCCAGATGTTCAGTTCTGTTGAAAAAGTTCTTGTAGCTCCATTGTCTTTACTGCTTTTTCAAAGATAGTTTGACTTTTTTTTTTTTTTTTTCTGGTACTGGGGATTGGGCCCAAAGGTGCTTAACTACTGAGTCGCATCCCCAGCCCCTTTTTTAAATTTTCATTTTGAGATGAGATCTCTCTAAGTTGCTTAGGGCCTTGCTAAGTTGAGACTGGCCTCAAATTTCTGATCCTCTTACCTCAGCCTTCTAGTTGCTGGGAACACATCTGGCAGAGCAGCTGACTTTTATGTGAGTCTTTCTATGTACTTGTCTTCTGTTCCCCTGGACTGTTTATCCATTCTCTCACTAGTTCCTTGCTGTCTTATTAAGATACCTCATTAGTCAGTC